AGGTGAGTAGGATCCCCAGTGGGTACTGCAGGCTGTCCAACTTCAAGGTTACAATCCAGTGGAGAAAAGGGATCATAACCACAGAACATGTGGCTATGCACAGAATACAGGGTATTATGGTAAGGGAAAAGAAGAAGGGAGGTACAAAACAATTCAGAAAGAAAAAAACAGCCTGTGAAAATACTCAGATGCTTCAAGAAACTCAACCTGGCAGAGAAGCACAGGCAGTCTGGTGAAGATGGAGGACCAAGTTTGGGGCAGCCGATGCAAAGAGGTGAGACTGGAGAGGAAGACAGGGGCCAGACACGGACAGCCTTGCAAACCAACGCCAAGGTGCCCATATTTCGTTCTGCAGATTGTAGAGACCCATGGATGAATATTAATAGGCAAGTGCTGTGGGACTTGCCGTTCTGACACATTGCCTTGTGTATAGTACAGAGAGGTGAATTTGACGAGGGTAAGAGTGGAAGCGGAGGAACCTTTAGAAGGCCATGTAGTCATCTGGACAAGAGAAGATAAAGTCCTGAAGTGGTGCTGAAGATGGAGATTCTACATCTGTCTGGGAAGTGAAACCATTAGGACGAGGTTGGTTGAGGGTGGGAGATGTGGGGTCTGGGCTGATCCCCCAGGTTCCTGGCTAGAGTGCCTGGGTTTCTAGTATCGCCAACTACAACAAGACATGTTACATCTTAGATGTCCCTGGGACATCCAGGAGGTGGCCTCTGAAGCTCGGGGGCAGCTCTGGACTAAAGATACAAGCTACTAATAGAACGTCATCATCACATAAAAGATACTTGAAAATAGGAGAGTGAATAAAATCAGCCAAGGAGATTGTGTGCAAATACACCTGAGTTTTGAATCTTAGATACGTCATTCACTATCTGCATGCTTGAGTAAGTTACTATACCTTTCTGAAACTCACATTTCTCATCTTTAAGGAGTTTATTTTCCCCCCACAGGGTGTGCACACTTGCTGAAGATACAGAAAGAGTGAGAAAGTGAGAAAGCACCCTCCAGGGGGAACAGCCACACAATTCCTTCTCCTCCATTCTCCTCTAGCGATTTTGGGCATGCATGCTCACAGGCCCAGAGTGATTTCCAAGGCTCTGGGTCTAGGACTCAGACTGCACTTAGCCATGTGAGATCCAGCACCTTTACCAGCATGCCACCTGCTGGCCCTGAGAAATAGCATTTTTAACAACTAGATAAAAATCCATGTAAATGTTCGTAAAGTATCTTAGGAAAAGTATCTAGCATTTAGAAGGCAGACAATAATGGCAGTCTCTTCCTATCTATCCTTGCTTTTCAACCTCTCTCCTCTTTTTATTGAATTTTAAATCTCTCCCTTTCTATTGGCTCCTTCCTTTCAGAATACACATATGCAGTCTCTAATCTTTTTTAAAAATAATTATTTTATTTAATTTTATTTATTTATTTTTAATTTGACTAGAGAGGGACAAAGTGAGAGAGAGAGAGAGAAACCTAGAAAGCAAGCCGCCAGGTCTGGGACTTGAACCATAGTCGGCTATATGGGAGTCCAGTGCGTCTTACCACCATGCCACCTGCTGGCTCCTAGTCTCTAATCTTAAAAAAATCTTCCTGAGGTATTGCTGACTCCCTCAAATCCCTGGCCCATCATTCTTTAATTCACCCAACTATATCCTTTCTTAACCTAAAATCTTTTTTTTTTCTTGAAGTTTATTTACTTCTTCCATGAACAAGAGAGTCAGCACCCTCAACAGTGTCTTGATGCTGTGATCCATCCCCAGTCTTCAGCCAGTCTTAGGGCATGGGTGATCGTGGGCAAGCGTGGACAGGTATACTCAGGGAAATCTCTGGATTTGAATATATTAGGTCATTGGGAAAGCCATGGTGTATTTGTCTACGTTTTTCTATGCAAAAATGCATCATGACTTTCCAGGCGACCCAAAAGAACCCTCCCCCATGTGGGACTGCGTGCAGAGCATCGTGTTTTACCACTGCACCGCTATCTGGCCCCCAGAAAGCACTTTTTAATGGACAAACCACCTCTTTCGTTTTAGAAAAAAGTTCTAGTTTATTATTACTTTTAAAAAGCAAATGCCATTTACATAAGTGTTCAGGCAGGCCTGCATAGAGGCATTTCATTTTAAAATATACATGTATTTTTTTCAACTACAGTAATTCATTTCAAGAGAAATTTCATTATGTATCTTTTACAGAGCCCTAAACTGAGAGAGCCAACGTATTCAAATAAACCCCGAGGTGTGGGGCGGCTTCAGGCCAGTTCCTCATTAGAGGCCTCAGCATGGGGGCTCCAGAGACCAACGCAGAAGGTCTTCCAGGAAGAGCTGAAACGTTCAGATAAGTGAGCTCTGGAAAGAAGGGGTAGTCGGCTGGCTCTGGCAGGCTCACCCCTGGGGTAGAGCAAAGAGAACAGACAGGGGAGTTCTGAGAGGCACCGGAGCTATCTAAACTCAGGGGGACGGAACCGAGTGAGCGGCCGCGGTAATTGAGTCTCAGTTACCTGCAGGGTGGTGAAATAAAGTAGTAGCTTCATCTGCCTGATGTGGGGGAGTTTAGAGGTGTCCTTGGCATACTCACAGCGAAATCCGTCACCCTTGTACCGTGTTGGGTGATGGCCACCGTCTGGCACTTCCCAGTGACAGCCAGCGTGCGTCCCGCTCGGCCGCACCCGCTAACTAACGAAGCGCGTTCCCCAGGCCTGTCTCCCAGGGCTCTCTGCATCCTCTGTCTGAAGGAATGGCACCATGGGAAAATTCAGCACAGCCAGCACCAGCCATCGCCCAAACTCAAAAGAGTCTTTGAATGGCAAAGAGAGGCCCGTTTCCTCTCTGCCCAGCCCAGGCTTGCAACCGTCGCCGGGTCACTTTTTGTGGGTCTGTACAAACGTGCCGACTGGCAGCGAGCCGTTCTTCACCTGAGCCCGGATTTCAGCTCGATGCTTTAATGTGAAGACCAGGGCTCTCACCGTCCGCCGGTAAGGCCCATTAATGAGGCGGGAGCAGAGATGAAACGTTTCCCGCTCGATATTTTCAACCAGTAGGTGATCCATCTAAAAAACAGCAAAATTATCAAATTAGGGCCTGGCATTGCATAAGGATTAAAAGCAAGAGAGGCTGGAGCACTCTGCTCAGAGGCCTCCATTAATCAACTGAAATTCAAGGACATCTACTTCCTGTCACAAGAGAAACAGGAAGAGCAAATTAATTCCACCCTGGCAATTAAGGAACAAGGCCATGTGCTTTGTGACAGGGACCTCATTCACAACCCCTGCCGGGTGGTAATATTTGCCATTATAACAGGAAACTGGCCCGAACTAAGCAACGGGGACTGGGCCCTGTACTTTACCAACCAGGAAATGAAGACCAAGGATAATAAATCAGTGTAACAGTTCGTACTTTTTTTTTGTTTTTATTTTTAAAATGCCTTTTAACCCCTTGCACCATTTTAGAAACGCTGGGTCCGGATACTAATAGGTGAACAGAGCAGTCTTTAAATGCCTTTTCACATTTAATGTCCATGCACTCTCTATCATGTCTCACAGATAAGGGAACAGGTTTAAAAGTAAAGGTTCTAGGTCTTACAAACACTAAGAGACAGACAGACCTGGCGCTCTGACCCCACCCCTCAATTCCAAAGCTCCTATTTTTTCTCTACCACATTAAGTGAGACCGATTGAGTCCAGAGAGATCCCTGTGGGTTCAGTGAAGCAGAGCAGGCCTAGCGGAAGGGAGCAGTAGCAAGTCTGAGATGGTCCAACTCAGGTTACAGACGTGGTCAAAGCAGGACAGGACAGATCCTGGACTCAGTGCGTAAGGTCTGGATCCAAGCCAGCTTAGGCTTTGGTCAAGGACCACAGCCCTGCTGTCCCTTCCAGGCCCAGCTCCCACTACGCCCCTCCTGACACTGACCACAACCCAGCCTGAGCGTGCCCGCAGCCGTCTAGCACCCCTGTGCCTCTGCACTGGCACCTGCTCCCTGGACAAGGCCTGCCTTTCCCTAAGACACACACTCCCATTAGTATGTCAAAGTTCAGGCAAAAATACACCAAACTAAAACCAAAATCCATCGTGCAAAGGACCAAAAGTTCTTCTTCAGAGCTGGCAGGTGGCATGGTGGTTAAGGACACTGGTCTCTCACACGGTTGACCACAGATCGAATTCCAGACCTGGCAGTTTGCTTTCTCCTTCTCTCTCTCTCTAGCTCACATTCTCGCTCTGTCCCTCCCTGGTAGAAGAAAGAAAGAAAGAAAGAAAGAAAGAAAGAAAGAAAGAAAGAAAGAAAGAAAGAAAGAAAGAAAGAAAGAGGGAGAGAGAGAGGGAGAGGGAGGGAGGGAGGGAGGGAAGGGGAATAATTCTTTAAAAAAAAAATTCAGGCTGCCACATGCCTTGAGCTTTTCTTAGTCATGAGGACAATGTATAGAAATTCTTTTCTTATTTTGCTGAGGGCACATGTACTAGCCAGAAAGACAGAGAGGGAAAGGGAGAAAGCATTCCCCACAATGGGGCATGGTCATGACTGAACAACCCTTTCTCCATTTCTCCATCCATGTGGTCAGACATGTGGGATCTGGCTCCCTTAACCACTAGGCCATGGGGCCAGCCCCATAATATATATATATATATATAAATGATCTATATATTTTTAAGAATGATCTATTTCCATTTGTTATTAATATTATTATTAAATTTGACCAGATAGAGACAGAGAGAGAGAAAGGGAAAGTGAGAAAGCCACCAGGTCCAGGACTCAAACCACAGTCAGCCATGTGGGAATCCAGCACCCTTAACCACCACACCACCTGCCAGCCCCAGATGATCTATATTTTGAGTGTGTCTCCCCTGGTGGGGAGAAAACAAGAAGTAAAATTCTCTCCCAGCCTTTTCTCCCTGCGTGCCCTCCCTCCCTATCTGAGCCACTCTCATAAACCTTTATTTAGCACTTACGACAGACAAGGGCTGAGGAATAGCAGTCCAGGATGGGCACAGCCCTTGCACCTCTGGGGGGCAGAGTCCAGTAGGAGAGACAGGCAGTGAACGGGGACTGCAAGGTACTGAGAGCCAGGAAATGGGGGAGGACAGACTGTTGGGGTGCAGTCACAGCAAAGCGACCCAGCCAGGAGGAGGTGACAGCCGACCTGAGACCTACAGGATGAGCAGCATCCAGCCAGGGGAAACGGGCGCGTGCACTGTGATAAGTCCATGAGCTGCACATTGATGTCTTGTGCACTGTTCTGTGTGTGCACTGTACTTTTATGAAAAAAGCAACCTTTAAAAAAAAAAAAAAAAAAAAAGCACACCCCCGAAACAAAGAAGGGTCACCTGATATGTGAGAAAATGTCAGAGGAAGAGAGATGGGCTAAAATATATAGACATAAGAAATGTGGAAGAAATAAGGACCAAGCAAGGAGCAGAATAGAGCTGAGAGAGAGATGACCACCGGGGCCAGGCACTGCCTAGTCTAGCAGACAAAAGATGCTACCCAAGTCTATGGTCCCAGTGACCGACGGTCTCCTTGGCCTGTGCTGGACGTGGTGCCAAGGCTTCGTGGGTGGGCACTCAACTCGTCCCCAGCCACGGGCAGGAGGGTGGAGAGGTGGCTGGCTGGCTACCCAGCACTGGCCAGCCAGGCTAGTCACTGACTAGAGGTTCGCTTAATGTAATGGGCAAGAAAAAGTGTTTTGAGAGGAGTGGTTATTGAGGAAAGAGGGCGCTTTTCAAAAAAAAGCCACAACCATTCCATCAAATTGCAGTATTCTAAAAAAAAAAGAACTCTGAGCATGCCTCGGCGTTCACATAGTTGGATGCTCACACAGCTAATATCTACTGAGTCACTAGGCTGAGTCTGACCCAATCTTGGAGACGCAGGGCAATAAAGACCTGTCCCGTCCCCAAGGAACTCAGCTTAGAAAGGAGACAACGCTCACGAGAAGACCATTCACCGCATGATAGGGGCCACGCTGGTGCTGTGATGGGCATCAGAAGCAAGCCGCCAGCAATTCTGCGTGTCTCCAGTTCAGTACAGACCAACAAGAGTTAAGAAATGAAGAAAAATATCTGTGATGTTAATACACGATAAGGAAAATGATCCACTACGAATCATGGTGTGCACCAAGTTCACTGGACAAAGCGAAGAATGCCTAGCTGCCCCTGGGTACTCCGAACCTATCTGCACAGAGGAGTCTGTTCCATTGGGTTTTAACCTGGTGCTTTAAGTAAGCCCTTTTGGGTGAAAGGACCAGGGTCTCACTAAGACTTTGAGAAAAAGGGGTTTTGCTGAGAGATACGTCGGTACAAACGGGAATGGGAACAGGAATACTGGCGGAGACGAAGGGGTTTATGTAGGGACCAGACCTTTTCTTTGTGTCTCACATGACCTGTGTGGTCTTTCTCACGTTTTTGCTCCTTGCCCTGAGCCTGACTACCAATTCCACCTGCCTTATTCTCTTCCCTAGTCTCCTCTTTCTATCCACAATTTCTGCTTCATAACTCACAGCTCATCATTCCTCCAATACCCATCCTGTTGTTTTCTTGGTATTTCCCAGTTCGTATTTTTCAGAGACAGAGAATCTGAGTTGCCTTCCTTAAGTATTTGTATCTGTGAGCTGAGTGTATGTGATCTACCTGTCTAAAATGGGACAAATGGGGCTATAGCGAGGGAAAGGTAAAAATCATGACCACCACTAGGACTGCAGATGGCATAATGGTTACATTGCTGAACTCCCTCGGAGTCGACTGCAGTTCGAATCCAGGACCTGGCGGCTTAAAACTCATGATGAACACATGTACATGTGTGCCCAAGATCCCAAGAGGAGAATGGAGAAAGGATTGTGAAGTGGTCATATCCCTGGGGGTTGATTTCTCACTTTCTGTCTCTGTCTCTATCACTCTGGTGAGCACACATACTCTATAGCAAAATCTTTCTTAGAAAATAACCAAAAAATAACAACAACAAAAAAATGACCACCTAGAGCTATCCTTCAAGGTAAAAAAGGTGCCATAATTAAATTAGTGATGTCTGATACATTTGGAAGCTCTTTAAAAGCAAGGGACCAGGTCTAGTAAGTGGCATGGTGGTTAAAGCACTAGACTCCCACATGGCCGATAGTGGTTCGAGTCCTAGACCTGGTGGCTTGCTTCTTCACCTTCCTTTTCTTTTTCTCTTTCTCTGGTCAAATTAAAAAATAGTAATAATGGGACCAGCAGTTAGCGTAATGGCTATGTTGCTGGACTCCCACGTAGTCGACCGTGGTTCGAGTCCCGGACCCGGTGGCTTAAACTCATGCCGGGCACGTGTGCGTGCGTGCCCAAGATCCCGAGAGGAGAATGGAGGAGAAGGGATTGCGGCGTGGCCATCCCCCCTGGGGGGTGATTTCCTGCTTTCTATCTCTCTGTCTCTCTCTGTCTGTCTGGCGAGCGCATGTGCCCTATAGCAAAAACCTCTCCAAAAAAAAAAATTAGTAATAATAATAATAAATAAAATTAAATAAATTCTTAATAAAAAAAAGCAAGGGACTAAGATCTTCTTGATGTGTTTACCTGAAGTGTAGAACTTCCCACACTACACTATAACTATCTGTCTTCCTCTAGGGCGGATACTATATTGGATCCATTTCTTTTTTTCTTTCTTTTTTTTTTTTGAAGAGGTTTTTTGCTATAGGGCGCGTGCGCTTGCCCTACAGACAGAGACAGAGAGACAGAAAGCAAGAAATCACCCCCCCGGGGGGATGGCCATGCCGCAATCCCTTCTCCTCCATTCTCCTCTCGGGATCTTGGGCACGCACGCACATGCACCCAGCATGAGTTTTAAGCCACCGGGTCTGGGATGCAAACCGCGGTCGACTACATGGGAGTCCAGCGACACAGCCATTATGCTAACTGCTGGTCCCCATTGGATCCATTTCTGATTTCCCATGTCTAGGATAGGTACTGGCACTTAGTAAGTGCCCACTAAATATTTGTTAAATGAATGTTCTTTCTCTCCATGTGTACCTCCTTCCTATCCTGCTCTCTCAATAATATGTCATAGCAGACAAAATATGAAACATAATGCTTCTTTCTTATTTATATTTTCTAGTTAGCAAAATCCTACTCCTCTTACTAAGGAAGTTCAACTGCCATCCCTTCCATGAAACCTTCCCAGATTCCATTAGATTTAATTGCTCCATACTCTGTGTGTCTGCACCACTTGCTGGTACGACTATTTCAGACTCCCTAATATTTTAGTCATTTACAGGCTCTCAGCCAGCAGACAGTAGGCTTTCTTAGGATACAGAATGCACCTCATTTATTGTGTATTCTTCCCTGGCCTGGCACCTCGTGGATCCTTAGTAAACGTTTACCAAACTGAATATCCACTAAGAGCAAACTTAGTGTGGGTTTCCCAATGGCAAGAGTAGGTTTTGTATATCTACCCATGCTTCTTTTTGACCACTTGAATACATTTATGAGAGAGCTGGTCAAAGCCAGGAGTGCAGTCTGAGGCCATTAAACAAAGAAAAAACTAACAGTCCCATATGAGGACATACCCCTGACCTGGATCTCATTAGCACCATCTGACAACCAACTGAGTCAACCAGCCAGTGTTTCATAACTCTTAATGATACAGGCTCACTTTGAGAATCAGGTTCATTTTTTTAAATGACATAATAGGAAAATGATCACAGGCCCGTGAGGTAGGAAGGAGAGTGGATAATGAGGAAGGGGAAGTAAGAGAATGACACCACAGGGGACGTTCACATGAGGAAAGATCTAAAAGGCAGGGAAGAACAAAGAAGATCTGGAAGGGAAAAAGTAAAGGGGAATGAACCCTGGGTTTCAACGATGAAGTTTTTATTCATCTATTCCATTATTCCAAGAACAAGAAAATAATCCATGAATCTAGAAAGCAAGATCTGTGGGGTAATAAAGAGATGCGCCTTTTGGATGTGTGTGTGTTCTTCATCTGTGGCTTCCACCATTAAAGGAGATGAGTGAACGAATAACACGGAAACGTTTTCTCTACAGAAATGTCATGATAGATTTGGTGTGTGCAGAAACACAGGCTAGGATCAAATTGAAAAGGCTTTGCAGTCATTGGGCCAGTAACTTACCCAATGGCTTACTAGTGTCTGATAAAGTACATTTATGGAGATCTGATGTCTGATTAGAATGCACTCGACGCTGGTTACTGCCAAAGACTAGACCCTGGATTAGCTAGTTCATTGATTTACACATAATATGGAGATGTCTCAGATGATGAGAGGTGCTAAGAGTTAACCTTATGTAAAAGTGTCTGTAATTCTATCCTCTGACATACCAAACTGATAAATTTTAGTGTCATCAGGAAAGCCATGATGTATTTTTGTTTGTTTTTCTATTCAAAAACGTGTCATGACTTTCCCAATGATCCAATACTATCAAATGCTGTTTGTGCAAGGAAAATGGCTTTTTTTTTTTTCATTTGGGGGCCAAGTAAGAGAGTAAGATGCATATTTTTAATTTTTACAATTTACTCTTTGGGAACAAAATCATTCAGCTATGCTTAATCTGATATTTTTTTCCAATTACATTGGAAAGCATTAACGAATGTATCACTTTTTTAACTTTGCTTTGTAACACTTGAGTGCTTACCACTTGATGTGCCATTTAAAGGATAATTAATGGATAAACTAAAAGGATAATTATTATGGAGTTTAATATAGCAGGCAAACTGCTCATTAATCCTTACAAGCATAGCTTCGTTATTATCATTTACTTAAAAAGATACCACAGGGAACTGGTATTTACCACCACATTAACTACATATTATATATACACACTGTATGTTTCTGCAATAATTTGGGTTTATTTCAAAAATAAACTTTATTTAAATTAGCAAGTCTTGTTGGTTAATCAATACTGTGGAAAATCAGACTTATAAACTATTTTTCTCTCTCTTCCTTTATAAAAAGTTAAGCAAACTTACAGCATATCAATTCATTGAACTATCAAACAAACATTAAAAATTATAGGGACCAGCAGTTAGCGTAATGGCTATGTCGCTGGACTCCTACATAGTCAACTGTGGTTTGAGTCCTGGACCCGGTGGCTTAAACTCACGCCAGGTGTGTGTGCGTGCGTGCCCAAGATCCCGAGAGGAGAATGGAGGAGAAGGGATTGCGGCGTGACCATCCCCCCTGGGGGGTGATTTCTCGCTTTCTGTCTCTATGTCTCTCTCTGTCTCTCTGGCGAACGCACGCGCCCTATAGTGAAAACCTCTCAAAAAAAAAAAAAAAAAAAAGATGAAAGAGACAGCAAAAATGTAAATAATTATGTCAATTTTTTGCAATGCTATTTAAATAATCAATTAAAAAACAGAACATTTGGTATATAATTCACTTTTAATAAATCTCAGATAATCATAACTTGCCCAGCATTCATTTAGAAAGCCAGCCATTATTTACCAAAAAAGAAAATGCACCAAAATGTTAATAAGACCAAAACTTTTCTTTTAAAAAAGTAAATAATATGGGACCAGTGGATGGTGTAATAGTTATGTTGCTGGACTTTCACCTGGTTGACTGCAGTTCGAGTCCCAGACCTGGTGGATTCAAACTCACACAGGGTGTGTGTGTGTGTGTGTGTGCATGCCCAAAATCCTGAGAGGAGACTGGAGGAGAAGTGATTCTGGTGTTGCCATCCCCCCTGGGGGTGATTTCTTGCTTTCTGTCTCTCTGGCGAGCGTAAGTGCCCTATAGCAAAAAAAAAAAAGAAAAAAGAAAAAAAACTCTCTCTAAAAAAAGGTAAAAAATATAACACAAGTCCTTCTCTTTGTGAATGAATAATTGAGATAGGAAGGTTAAATAATTTTGAAGAATGTATTAACAGATCTAGTATTTAAACCTGACTTCGTAATTTCTCCTTTTGTTCATAATATTAAATTGTTCTTAAGGAGAGATCAATAGAGATATCCTTACAATATCCTTGGGATAGGAAAAAATAAAAAATCCTTGGGATAGTATATGTCTGATTTTTCAGGGTATTAATTGGCTTATAAGTTTAGTTGTTTGATGATGTTGGTTAGTATTATTTTTAAAAAATATTAATTAAATTAAATTAATTAATTAAGTGATTAATTTTTAGCTTTTTGCTATAGGGCATGTATGTTCACCAGAAAGAAACACAGAGAGAGAGAGAGAAAGTAAGAAAGCAAACCACCAGGTCCAGGACTTGAACCATAGTTGGCCATGTGGGAGTCTAGCACCTTGACCACCATACCACCTGCTGACCCCTGGATTACTATTATTAATAAGCAAAGTATATCTCAAACCACTAATAGCTAACAGCTGGCTATGAAGTTAATAGGAAATATATCTAGCCATATGCCTTGGAATTAAAGATATGCATACTGACAAAAAAATGGGAAAGTGTTGTCTTTTCAATAGGCAGCTATTTATTTTGCCATTGATATTCTTTTTTCAAAAAATATTTATTTATTTAATTTTATTTGTCACTACTATCATCATTTTTTTCAATTTGCTACTGGGCAAGTATGTCAGAGGGAGAGAGAGGGAAAGTGAGAAAACAAGCCGCCAGGTCCAAGACTTGAACCACAGTTGGCCATGTGGGAGTACAATGCTTCAACCACACTACCTGCTGTTCCCTTTGCCATCAATATTACGAACACAGTTCATTCTAAAATTTACTTCAGTGGGAAGGGAAAGGATTTTAAATGGAAAGGAACCAACACTCTTTACATGACTTTTAATCAGCAGGCACTGTATACTATTCCTTCACATAAATGGTCCACATTATCTTTCTGATAACTCTAGGTGGTAGGAATTATAATCCTCATTTTACAGATAAAAAAGCCAAGTCTCAAAATGTTCATGATTTGCCGAAGGTGTCACAGACTGAACTAGAGCCAGGATTTTATCCCAGGTCTTGCTAGTTCCAAAGCCTGTACTCCCATAATATTGTCTCCCAGGGTGCTTATAAATCCAAAATCCTTAAGGAATAACCAGTTAAAATAAAGCCACAGCATTAAGACTATGAAAGCTCATTATGAAAACATGAGGCCCATTTAACTAAGAGCATCTAGTAATTAAATTCTACCCAAGACATTACCTTTAATTCCAAGGCTTCTGAGAGTAGTTTCTGGGCATTTTTCCTAAATGATTCAGTTTTAGGATCACTTCGGACTTCAATAGAAGGTCTATCCAAATGTTTTTCAATGAAAGTTTTCCACTCGGTATAAACTGCTCTGGCAAGGCAAGCCACTTGTGCATCTGGGTGTTTGCGCATCTTGTTCACAGTGTGACCTGGAATAGGAAGGAAACCAAAGGAAAGGTTGTTCTGCCACCTCCTAAAAAGCACGGGGCTAAACGGGCTGCTTTGTGGCACGAGAAAGTCATTCAAATACCATTGATGCAAAAGCTTTTGTGCAAACAAGACCCATTTCATAAAGGCTGAGATAACAAGATAATCACTGAGGAAGAACCCCCGGACTAGCCAATGCAGTAAGCCATCAACTCAAGTAAAGTGTGATTAACAGAGTCTTAAAAAGAATAGCAACTAAACTTCAAATTCCTTCATCCCAAAACTGCAATAAAAGAAAACAAATTAAACACAGTTTTTTTTTTTTTTTGGATATAGCATATTTCAAGATAACAAAATAACCCTAGCTATTGAGGAAATGTTCTTTTTTTTTTTTTTTGAGAGGTTTTTGCTATAGGGCGCGTGCGCTCGCCAGACTGACAGAGAGAGACATAGAGACAGAAAGCGAGAAATCACCCCCCGGGGGGATGGTCACGCCGCAATCCCTTCTCCTCCATTCTCCTCTCGGGATCTTGGGCATGCACGCGTACGCGCCTGGCTTGAGTTTTAAGTCACCAGGTCCGGGACGTGAACCGCGGTCGACTACGTGGGAGTCCAGCGACATAGCCATTACACTAACTGCTGGTTCCTCGAGGAAATGTTCTTTATGTAGGTAATAAATGAGAAAAAAACTGACAGAATTCAGAAAAAAATTTTGTAGCCCTTGATGAAATAATTCATTCAGAAGACAATCATCCGTGGATGGACTCGTTTGATGAGAGGCTCACAGATTTATAACAGATGGATGAGCTGTCATCTCCTGAACCTGCTGATCAATATTAGACCCCTAAGGGTGGGACTGTGGGAGAAAGTACTTCATGGTCCTACCTAGGAAGTAGTTTTTCAGCCTCCCCTCAAAGAAAAAGTGAACCACAATCTAATTAATCATTCAAAGCTCAGCTTCAGTTCATAGGAAATATGAGAGACAGAAATAAGCCATAGTATGAAAAATAGGCAAATTCAGAATGTGAGACATTCTATAGGAAAATGGACATGGTTTCTTCAATAATGACATTTTTTTAAAAAGAGGGAGTAGGAGGGAACAGCAGATGGCATAATGGTTACATCACTGGACTTCCACATGGTCGATTGTGGTTCAAGTCCTGGACCTGGCAGCTTCAAACACATGCCAGACATGAGTGCTCACGTGTTCAAAATCCCAAGAGGAGACTAGAGGAGAAGGGATTACAGCATGGCCATGTCTCCTGGAGGTGGGAGAGATGGTGGTGGTGGTGGTGATTTCTCACTTTGTCTCTCTGTCTCGCTGGTGAGCACACACGCCCTATAGCAAAAATCTCTCTTCAGAAAAAAAAAAAAAAAAAAAAAAGGGAGGGAGTATGGTTAGGGATTGCTATAGATCAAAAGAGTTTTTGAGTCCAAACTACCAAATGCAACATGTGATCCAGATCTTGGCTGGAATGAACCATACATAAAAAGATATTTCGAGATAAACCAGGAATATGAATATGCAGAAGGTATTAAATTGTACCAAGGAATCACTGTTATTTTGTTAAACAAGATAACATCATTTTGGTTATGTAAGAAAACGCTCATTTTGGAGATGCATATTGAATTATGTAGAGTTAACAAAAAGTCTGAGATTCTCCTTTAAAATATCTCAGTAATTGATGCTGGGAGGTGATGTGGTAGTTAAGGTGCTGGACTCCCACATGGCCAACCATAGTTCGAGTCTCGGATCTGGCAGCTGGCTTTCTCACCTTCCGTTTCTCTCTCTTTCAAATGAAATATTAATAAACATAATAGGGACCAGCAGATGGCATAGTGGTTACATTGCTGGACTCCCACGTAGTCAACTATGATTAGAGTTCTGGACCTGGTAGCTTATAACTCACACTAGGTACATGTGCATGCGTGCCCAAAATCCCAAGAGGAGAGTAGAGAAGGGATTGTGGGGTGGCCATCTCCCAGGGACGGGGGTGATTTCTCGGTTTGTATCTCTCTGTCTCTCCAGCAAGTGTACATATCCTATAGCAAAAAAACTCTCTAAAATTAATTAATTAATTCTAAGAAAAGAAAACAACCTCAGTTACAACACAAAACCAAAAAAGGGAAAGATAAAGCAAAATCTTAACAGGTTCTGAATCTAAATGAAGAGCATAGGGGAATTTGTTATACTCTTCATTTTTGTATATGCTTGAGATTTTTATAATTTAAAAAAATGAAGAGTAAAAAACATCAGTGTGCAAAAATTCTTAAATAACAATAAATACCTAAAAGAAATCTAAACAGTTAAAATGAAAGAATATAAGATAGACATATCTTTTTTTTTAATCAACAGCTTTTTTAAGTTAGCAATAACCAATCAGACTATAATAGAAAAATCCTGCTTAAATGAGTGAAAAGACAAACCACTTAGTAATACATTAACAAGAGTGAGTGTGTGGACACGCACGTGTGCTGTTTGTGTATGTGTGTGTGCCTACCTTATTAATAGCTCTGGAACCCTCCTTTTCTCCCTCCTGGTACCCTTGCCTAAGGCTGTGTTCCTCTGGATAATTATAAAGGCCCCTGACTGGCCTTTCTGGCTAAGTTTGATACCCGTTCATGCCTTCTTCCACTTTGCAACTAGAGTGGCCTTTAATTGTAGGGACATTTTTTCTTTAAATCCTTAAATCTGATATCCAAACTCTTACCTTTTTATACAAATCCTTCATAATCTCCCAGCCTCCTACCTACTGTCTAGCATCATTTCCAGCTACTATCTCATTATCAACCAATTCCCCAGCTTCTTACAGCTCCTAAAAGGAATATATTTTTGTCTCTTTCATTTTGAACATACACCCCAATGAACAATCTGTCTGCCTGGACAGCTTTTTCTCCCCTTCTCATCTATCTAACTTTCATTTGGCCCTTGGGACTCACTAAACGGTTCCCTCCTCCAGGAAGTCATCCTTAATACCCCCCCCCCATTTTGGTTGGCACCCCATTCTCTGCCTCCTTAGCGACTGTGCTTTTGATAATTACTATAGTTAAATGTAATGATCTGGTCACTTATCTCTTTTGCTCACCAAAGTGAGTTTCTAAGGGCAAAAGCTGTGACAATGTTCACTTTTGTACTTCCACAGTGAGCACAGGGGCAGGAGACAGAAACCAGAATAGGCCGATTGAATGAGAGTCCCATATAAAGAGTAACACTTATTTTTTCCTAATGTAATAGCAGGAGATTTCATTAAAAGAGGAAAAGATGTCATATTATAAACTGGAAAGATGAACACAAAGATGCCAATATGGAAATTATTTGATTTAGTGTAATCTCAATCAAAACTCTCCACTATTATTATTAAAAAGTCAAGTATTTATAGGCTTATTTTAGAAATATAACTAGGCAAGAATATAAAAGCCTATTTTGAAAAAGAAGAGTTATGGGGACCAGCAGTTAGCGTAATGGCTATGGTGCTGGACTCCCATGTAGTCAACTGCGGTTCGTGTCCTGGACCCGGTAGCTTAAAACGCTGGGCACATGTGCATGCGTGCGTGCCCAAGATCCCGAGAGGAGAATGGAGGAGAAGGGATTGTGGCATGGCCATCCCCCCGGTGGGTGTTTCTCACTTTCTATCTCTCTGTCTCTCTGTCTGATGAGCGCACACACCCTATAGCAAAAACCTCTTCAAAAAAAAGAAGAGTTATGAGGTATAACTAGTCTTATCAGATAATAGAACATATTATAGAGCAACAATAATTAAAATTATATAGATGGATACCCCCCAAAAAAATAGATGGATATAGATCTATGGAATAAAAAGCTGAAGCTGAGAAATAGACCCTATTACATATAATAATTTAGTATATAATAAAAGATATTACTGGACAAAGGGAAGCAGAAAAAAGACTTATATATAGAAAAACAGTCAAAACATTCAGAAAATTTCTCCAGTTATTCTAACTGCATAGCCCAACACTGCTCAAAGAATTTATTCACATACTTACTACTGTCAGAGACCTATAGGAAGAATAACATATATTCTTATTAATACACATAACAGTAGATTTAAATAAAGGAAGGAAAATGTATTATGAAATGGAAAAATCAACACAAAGATGCCAATATAGAAATCAATTTGTAGATTAATTAATATAATTAATCTCAATCAAAACTCCACAGATCATTTTTATTAGAATAAAACCAAATATTTCTCAGCTTATTTATTATAATTTTTTTTCAGGTTTATAAAGCACTAATCATGTAGGGCCTGAAGAGAAAACTATCTCTGCTTTAAAGATTCTATGAGGAGAATCCTGGAGATAAAAGAAATGTAACTTTGAAGGGAAGACAAGGGTGACATAACATTAAGAATCTAACTTCTGGACCTCCCCTGTGACTGCCCAGAGCCAGTGGTTCTCGAAGCACCCAGTACCCTGCGAGACGCGCAGCTCACCGACGGAGCGGACATGGGCAGAGCGATGGTGGCCAGCTGATGCTGAGGCTGTTGCTGCCGGTGCTGCTCCTACCCATGCAGATTTATTCAAATCAAACAACTGTCATAAGCCTTCTAAGTAATTTCTCCCCGAATACCTCAGCTGCCCCAAACTCAGCTAATGCCACCACCAAAGCCACTGGCAGTGCCCTACAGTCAATGGCCAATCTCCTTGTGATCTCGCTTTCTCTTCTACATCTGAACTGTTAAGAGACTCAGGCCAAGAAATATCTATACTTCCCCATCTTCTAAACCCAATCCAAATGGCATCTAGAAGTCCAGTGTGGCAAAGAAAAACAAAACAAAACAAAAAAACAGGTCTTCATTGAATCTATTCTACTAATTCCACACCTGATTTTATCAACACAGAAAATGTTGTGAATCCCAAATTTGATTGGTTGAAGAACATGTGAAGATGATAAATACCAAGATTAAACCTGCTAGAGTTTCGTGTACAAGATGAAGAGACAACAAAGTTAGTTAAGACATGATTTCCATGAATGTGGCTT